TTTATTATAATATATATATATATATATATATATATATATATATATATATATATATATAATATAATATAATATAATATATATATAATATATTTTTAAGGCTACCAATTAGCTTCACATTAACTTACCAAATAATATATTCAATTTTTTATCCACAGAAGAAAGTGAAATTTTCATTAAAAATGAATTTAATACTGTTATTTCACATAATTGTTTTATACTGCACTGAAAAAATATAACTATAACTTAATGTAAAAATAAAAACTTAATTTAAAAATATAACTACCCTTACATCTTATATAATTATATAATTATTATATATTGTATAATTTATAACTTAATATCATAATTTTATACATTCAATTTCAATTCTCTTCAAATTTAAATTCCACAATTAAACTTCTATTAATTTTGCATCTTAAAAAAATATGAGATTTCTTATAGGAGGAAGAATTATCTGATAGAATATCTCAAAAATAATTCACAATATTTAGCTCACATATTTATTAACATAGGTTAATAAGCAATCTTTAGCTCCATTTTTATTAACATAGGTTAATCTTTAAATTGGTTTTAACTTATCTTTTTTTAGTTCTAAGAATTAAAAAAAAGATAAAAAATCAATTAAATCAAGATTAAAGCTAATCTATAATACTAGAAATAGATGTAAGAATATTATACCACTTGTGTCTAATCATATTTAATAACTTAATATTCTTTGTATTATATTAAACTTATACCTCTAATTTATGAGACAAATACTCCATTCTATTAAACATATAAGAATCTGTATCCTGTTGAGTGTAATACACATAATTTGCTAATTCAACTTGAGTCAAATGCAGCCATGGTATTAGCTGGTTGTTATCCATGTTAAGAACCTTTATACAGTTAAGCTTATCCAGAAGTTTATTGTTTTCATATGCCAGAAGCCAGACATTATTTTTGATAGTATCTATTTGTATACCAGCTTCTATAAGATTGTAATAATTGTTCAGAATATTCGCTCTGGATCTCTTTTTTAGCTGAGGATTCTTGTTGAGAATTTTTTTAATTTCCAATTTTGAAATGCCAAGTATTTCTACGAGAGTGTTTGTCAGGATCCATATAATAGGATTGTAGTTAAAGAGATAGTCGTTGTAATTCGATACTTTACAGGTATGATCAACTACGTCTACATGCTTGCACATCATTCTATCCTGAGGGATGGACAAAGGCGAATATTCACATAACGAAAGAGCTGGATTTAAAAGCTGCCGCTGATGTTTGAGCAGAAAACCTGCAATTACTCGCTGTGTTAAGTGTCGAACCATAATCTTCTATTTTAAAATATCTCCTGCTTTCTATCATAAAATAAAATATTTTCATCAAATATTCTTGAATATTCTCTACAGAAGGCACTTTAATTTTGTATTTTCTGCTAGCAGTTCTAACCTCTACGTATCAAAAACACAAGATATTTTGAGAGATAACACATTTTTAGAGATTACATCGCGTGTTCATTTGCCAGTTCACTTAGACATTTCCAGATTGACACAACTCGTAATTAGCAATTCAATTTATGAGTATTGTATTTGTAATTATCAGCTCTTAAAAATAAATTCAAATACATCTCTACAGTTGGCACTATCTACAGGACTGATTCGTAACCAGTAAATGAATTGTAGATAAGTATGGTAACGAAAGGTAAAATTGTATTACTAAAAATTTTTAATTCAATTTTTTAATTAAAAATTTAATTACTTTGTTTCTTGAAAAAATAAATTCCTTATATTTAAAATAAGAATATTTGAAATAAGAAGTTAAAATTTAAACAGACATTTTAATAAAATATTATAAAGTTATACATTTTTTAAAAATTCCTTTTTTTTAAAATATGTTTTGATATAATTGATTTATAAGTTTTTCTAATTTTATAAAATATCATGTACATTTTCCATAGAACTAAAAAAGAATTTTCTTTTTTTTTATTTTTCTATACAGAATAAATATAACTGTGTGGCCAAATGAAAAAGAAGATTAGCCGAAATGTAAATATTCGTGGAATAAAAATTTGAGTAGCATTAAGATATTTATACAAATATAATATTATATTACACGTTGTATATATATAT